TATAAAAAAGAATATAATATAAATTTTAAAAAATATTTAAAAGAACCAAAATTAAAAATTTATTTTATTTTTAAAGTTAATAATTTAATTACCTGTTTTTAATTTCAATAAGATAATTATATGTGCCTTATAATAAAAATAGTAGGAAATAACTCAAAAGGTTGGCCCAAAAAATAATTTACGACACCCATGAAAAGTTAGTTTTATCATTCAAGTTGTAAAAAAAAAAAAAATTTCTTCGTATTTGTATCTCTAATAAATGCCATAAATTAAAAAAGACAAATATTTTCTATCTCCACGTTGAAATCTGAGAACAAAGACAAATTTAGAATAAATCAATTAACACTACACAAAATTGTTAATATATTTAGGATCACAAAAATTTTCCAGAAGGCGATTTATATATGGGACTGGAGAGAGAAAAAATATACTCTCTCTTATCCTTGTTATAAGACCTAATTAACTACCCCTTTTATTTTATATAAGGTAAACTTTGCAAAAAAATTAGTCTCAATACAAGACAAAGTTAGGGTAATTATTTTTTTCAATTTTACTTTTTAATATATTGTTTAAATTTTTGACCACAATTTAACATAGTATTAATTTAAGGGTTAAATAGTAATTTGACTCCTAAACTATAAGTCCATGAGCGGTTAAGACTCCAATCTTAATTTCAATAAAAATATTCTTCTTAACATTTAAAAATGATGTAATGTAATTCTTATCATTAACAAAAATTAATTTTAACTGCTAGTTAACTTTATTTAATTTTTTGGGTTATTTTTTTATAATTTTTGGGTCCTTTTTAGTAATTTTCTTGGTCCTTTTTATGTTATTTTTTGGGTTCTTTTTATTATTTTCTTATCAACTGACAATTAAAATTAACCTTAATTAATAATAAGGGCTATATTGTGCTATTTTTAAAAGTTGGGGGGCAATATTGCATAAAAATGCTTAATTAAAAATGAGGTTTTTTGATAGATACATCCTTAAAACAACTTAACCCATAACATAAAAATGCATTGTGCAAGAATCTTTAGTTCTATTGGTAAAAAAAAAAACAAAAAGAAAAGAATCCTTAGTTCTAGTTTTGAATGAATACGTTTCCTAATTTTGATGTTTTGTTTCAATAATTAAGTAAGAAAAAAATGATCTCATATTCCACTCTACTAATGCCGGTGGAGCTAGATTTGGATGATTACAATACCAGTGTGGCAATAATTAAAACTAAAAAAAATCATATGAGCTTTGAAGAAAAGATGAAATAATTAAGAAAAAATATAAATTTTGGTCTTTACACTTTAATTGTGTTTTTTATTAATTTATGTGCTGTTTGTGTTTAAGTCCTTACACTTTTATTTTTCAGTTTCTTTAAAATCCTTATACGTTATTCATAAAATGACCTAAAACAATAAAAAATCAAAGTGTAGAGATTAAAAATACTAAAAAAATATACATGGACTATTAAAAAAATATGAGTAAAGTGCAGGAATTAAAAACTATATTTTTTTAATAATTAAAAAGTATTTATGTAATAGAGTAACGTAATTTGAGCTGGATTAAAGATGCCTTGCCCAATCTAGAGGGAGTGTTATGGGACAAAAAAGCCCATATAGTCATGGGCCGCATTATGATGGATCTGACCTAAAAACTCCAAGGCCCAAACAAGATTTCAAAGAGCTTCTTTGTTGAACCAAGATCTCATAGACCTTGGTTTTGTTTTTGTTTTTATTTTTGGCTGTCTAAGGTTTCATAATCAGTAGTTATGAGATTAATCTCTTAAATAATTTGAGTACTATTTAAAGAGTTATTCTCTTTCAAGTAATGTTTTTTTATACACCCCTTCTAAAAATTAAATCTTAAAGTAATATTTAAGATGTTAAATCGCTATTATTTATACCACATTCATGTGATGTAGCTTAGTTAAATGTTTGTCACTGTGCTGCATTGTTTTGTAGGAAAACAAGCCCGTGGTAAAAACTACTTTGCACTGTTCAAAGAGTTTTGCTTTGCTTGGGAGAGGTGCCCGTATTTACTTTTTGATCATACTTTAAAAAATATTGTCACCAATAAAAAAAATTAATTGCTTATACACAACAAGAAATCTACACAGAAAAATGTATACAATTATATCGACCTTTTTTCAATATTATAATTCTTTTTTATTTATTTCTAAATATAAAAATATTACTTGCAATAAGAAATTACTTTATATTTTAGTCTAATTAAAATTTTTAATTAATGCATACTTTGTCTAATTTTTTAATTTCAAAATATATTTATGAATTTCTTTTCCTCTATCTGTTGTTAATATATTTATTTTTTTAGGAAAAAAAAGTAAATAATGGAGGTTGGTAACTTGATCCGTTCTAGAAGATTTTATGAACACTTTTTTGTAGGAAAGTGGAGGGCATCTGGACAATAAGTAGCTGTTGAGTTAACTCTATCTTTACTTTGCAATCTCTTTAAGTTATGTATCACTTTTTCATTCAAAAAAAAAAAAAAATTATGGAATGAATTTAAAACTTGGAAAATAAATTATGTATTGCAACTTGGAAGTGTGCAACCTGGCACTAATTTCCTTTTTTTCACTTTTATTAAAATTATTATAGTTTATTTTTTAATTTAAAATATGCACATACTTTTTTTTATTAAAAAAAAAGCACATACATTAATTAAAGCTTAAGCACCCTACACGAAGTGGTATTCGTATCCTTTGATGCCTTGAAGCAATTTTGGCTATAGGTCCGCAAAAAGCATTTGTTTTTGTTTGTTTTTTGTTTTTTTGCCAGACACAAAAGTATTTGTTGATATCATTTTTATATATTCAGGTAAAAAAAAAAAAAGATATCACTTTTTATATGTTTGTTAGTTTTATGTGAAAGGCAAAGCCAGTCTATAAATGATGACGTAGAGGAAAAGTTTCGGCAACTAAAGCCTACGTGAAATGATATGTAAATATTTTTATAATATAAATATTTTTTTAAATTTGGATATGTGTCCAAATTTTGTTGAGCTCCCAAAAGCTCAACTCACAAAACGTTTTATATAAAAAAAAAGAAGAAAAGAAAACATACATGATATTCAATGGTAATTTTTTTTATTGTTATCTATACTTATTTTTAATTTTCGTAGGCGATGGTAAACTTTTTTATTTTTATGAAATTTTTGCTACGGGGTTAAGTTAAGTATTTCTATTAGTTCCTAAAACTATTTCTATAATATTTTCTATAAATATTTATATAATTTTTTCTATAAATATTTATATAATTTTTTCTATCAAAGAAAATTAACTAGTTCCAACTTATTTATCTTAAGGAACTTGAGCCTTTTTATCCCAAATTTCATAGTTTTAATTTCTTATATAATGTTTGGCGGGAAGAAAACTATTTTCTAGAACTTAAAGGAAATTGAAAATGTATCTATTTCATTTTTTTAAAAGATATATTTTTTATTTTTTCTATAAAATATTCTTCCATTGTATCAAACATTGATATTGCTTACTGTTACTTCTATTAGTGCATGTTTGGAAATCCATTTGATTTTAGTCAAAATGTGGTTTTGATGAAAATTATATGAGAATAATTTTATTTGGAAAGTTGCAAAATCATATTTCTAACAAGTTGTCAAATAAGCACGGAGAAAAATCTTACAAGTTAAAAAATATGCATATAGATATTAATTTGCACTATCATCTAGGAAAAAATGACTACACATCCAAAAGTAGCTATTGAGATGTATATAGAGAGTAAATAACTTTCTAAAAAAATATATAATCCATAGAAAAAGATATTTTAATGAAAATGTTAGCAAAAGAATACACATTCAACTTTATGTACACGTATAAAAGAACCCCTAACGTAACCCAGGTCCTTCGAGGAATTAAGGTTATAATCTTAATTCATTTAAAGGATACTGGTAATTTTTTTAAATAACATTATGTAGTGTTTAGATTAATAGATTTGGATTTGAATTTTAGGTTTTAAATCTCAAATTTAAAATTTTTATATTTAAAATTATTTATTTGAATAGTATAAAAAATTTCAAACTAAAAAACATAAAAAAATGGAGGTGGCTGGGAAATGAAAATATAAAGAGATAAGAGGACTAAAATAGCCAGTATTTTTCTATCAGAAAAAATAGCTAGCATTTAAAATAATTAAAATGCAAAAATGATTTAAAAATTAAATAAAATTATAATAAACTATAAATTTTTATAGATCAAAATGATAGATCAGGCTAAAATTTTTTTATTAAGCCTAATCCCTCAAGCTATCGGAAGGAGGAAAAAATTGTTACTCGTCTAATATCAGTCATATGCATGCACATCCCCTCTAGCTATTTATAATTAATTTCTGTGGCCAAAGAATCGTTCATATATATCCACCAACCTTATCTTTTAGCTAATGCATTACAATTAAGTAAGAACCTCCTCTAACTTTAATCTCTTTTTCTCTAATTAATCTTTGACCTCATATTCACAACAATAATTTGCGTCCACATTATATTGCCACATTCCAATTTCATTGTTGTTATAATAATTAACTTCTCTTGGTCCGTAATCATTGTAGAGATTGCAATATAAGTAGAAATGATAGACTTTTTTTTATTGCAGTAAATCTATCATGCATTCTGTGTTTAATATTATTGACTAATTTAAATGACTTAAATTAAATCAAGGTCCAAATAAATAAAAGTTCTTCCAATGTAAATTTGTTTCTATGTTCAAAACACTAAAACTCAAAACCTCCGTTACACTCGGAGAAAAAAATAATCAATACTACTTCACACTAATCACTACCGGAATGTGCTCAAAAAATAAAAATAAAAACCCTATTAGGTGGTTGGAGAGAAACTTCACAGTTTGCAACGCAAGAAAGTTATATACATATGTATGGATATAAATATTTATTACAATGAAGAAATAACATATGGCTCATTGCACGCACCACGCGCATGCGAATCGTAGATAAACTAATTTTTGTTTTAATCCACAAATATTAAGCACAAGTTAATATATAAACAAACATTTTTGCTAAATTACAGCAACTATTCTACTAAACTGCCATTTATAATTTTTTTTAATCCTAAGTTTCAGCGGAAACAATAACGGCGTCGGTGTCGCACCATGTATCCGTGTCAGATTCCGTTACACGTTGTAACGGCGACCTAACATTTCTCAGGTCTCCAACAGTCACGTCATCGTGTACGTCATCTCTGACATAAAACTTCTCGACTTCGCCGAATCCTACCCCGACGATCTTGCCCAGGTTCGGTCCCCACTCGGCAATCACCGCCGGTAACCTTCGCCGGAGACGACTGTCCCAAATCTTCACAGCAGTTTTACCAGATGCGTTTTTGTCGGCGGACAAAACCACAGCTGGAGGTGAACTGGACGCAGCCGCCGCCGCCGCCGCCGGCGGCCGGGTCAAGCTTCCCGCGTAGATTTCACCATCATCGAAATCTAAACCCAACCCAAATCCTATGTTGTCCCACAGTTTGACGACGCTCTTGCTGTTGACGATTTCCGACAGCGAGAAAATGTCCCTGATGCTACGACGTCGTCGAAGCTTAACACTACCGCTCTGCAACCGGTCATCGATTTGGTGACCGGAGCCTCGAATTCTGCAATCTTCATCCACTACGCGCCAATGGAAGGAACTCAAAGACGAAGACATTGTCTTTTCATCCTCCTCATCATCTTCTTCTTCAAACTCCGACGACGAGCTGATTTCTTCCTCCTCCTCTTCGTAGTCGGAGCTAGAGTAATCGTCGCCGTTGAGAAGAGGGATGGAAGGCAGAGGAGGACTGTGGCGACGGAATGTGATGATGAGAACTTTGATCTTATTGATCGAACGTCCAAAGTAGCGACGAGAGCGAGAATTAGAATCAGAGCACCCCATTTACAGAAAGTGTAAGCGAAGGAAACAGATTGGACCCCAGAAAAAGAAAGAGACGGATTTTGGAGAGAGGCGAAACCCATATGAACATCTTTGATTTTGTCGATTACAGGAATTTCCATGGTTGAAGAAAGAACAGTGTGGTGGATTTGGAAGGGGAGGGCATTGAGGAGGTTATATAAATGACGGAAAGGAGCAAAAGGGCCAAGATTGAGGGAAAGAAGGGCGGGTCGTGGAGGATAGCGATTGGCCGTTGATGTGAGAAAAATCGGACCACGTCAAGGAAAAGGCAAGAGATGGGAGGCTTTTGGCTTTCTGAGGGAAGATTGGAACAGCGGGGGCTGAGTCAGCAGACGCGAAAAATAGGACTCATCGGAACAACTGGTGGGACCCTCTCACACCAAAAGCCATCGAGCGGGAACTTGTGGTGGTCAACAATTCAGACCACTCCATAATGCACTATGGCTCTACATGTTTCTGTCATTCTTTTGTTGGTTTCTCCAGGGAATTTTATCACACGTGGTCGGTTCTTACTTAACTTCTTTTTCAGCTTAAGTATACTCTGTGATCCTCTTAATCTTATCTTATATCCCCACGATAAGAATTTTTTTAGATAAGATGTTAAAAAATATAAATTATTTTAAATTTTTTAAAATATAATTAATAAAGTTTTTTACTTGAGATAGCCTATTAAATAAAGATAAATATAAAAAAATATATAATTTTAAATATAATTAATTAACTCATGGTGATATAATTTGGTCAAAAATACTTTATAATATTCAACCGAATGAGTATATAAGTTATTTTTAACATCTCACTATTTTTTTTAATGTATTCTTATAAATGCATCATCTTTAATACTTCATCCACCATAAGTTGCAATGCATTTTTTGTACAAATACATTTACCAATAAGATTTATTAAATACAACTTATACTATTAAATTTTTTATGAAGTTCTAAAAATATTTTCATTGATAAGGATGTGTATTTTATTGGTGGGTGGGGACACCATCACTTCTTTTATTCCACATTTTAGCAATAGATGTTATGGAGCTTCCCTCGCTTTGGATCTCCCCCAGCAAATGGATATGAGAACAGGAATTGGCTATGGTGTGCTCTTTTGGCTTCTTCTCAGTTTATTTCTTTCGATTTGTTGCTGTCTGGATTTTTAATTTCCCTCTTTCTACATGACTCTTTGTATTTGCTTGTTGTCTATCTTTGGGTAGTTAAGTGAAGTATTCCTTCCGACCAAAACAAAAAAAGATAAGAGGGAAGAACAAAATTCATTTAGTGTGAAATACTATGTTGGGAGGTAATGTTAGAATAAGATAATCATTCATATCTATATTTTCATTTGTATATATTTTATCTTTTACAAATACTTTTTACACATAAAAATACTGAAAAAATATCTTTGAAATGGGGCTGATGGAGTAACATTTTATCTCTTATATTTTCTCCATCAAAAAATATAAGTATTTTGAGGTAAGATATTAAAAAATACAAAGCATTTGTTGATTTTTTTAAGATGCAATTAATAATATTTTCCCCAAAAGTACCCTTAATTAAAAGTATAATTAATAAGGTTTTTTTATTAATACACCCCATTAAACCAAAGGTTGTACTATAATTTAAAGAAAATTAACTACCTTATCGATTGTAATTAATTCAATTAAAAGTATATTATAATATTTAACATAATAAATGTATAATATTTACTCTACACATGAAAAAACTGTGTAAGGATAAAATTTTAAAAAAATAATTAATGATTATATATAGGGTTACTTGTAAAAAATTATAATTAAATTTTTTAAAAAGTAATATTCCCTTCATTAAAAAATATAAATATTTTTTTTAGAGGTTAAATGTTTAAATATATAAGATATTTTTAGTTTTTCAAGATATAATATAATTAACATTTGTTTTCTTTAAAAATTTCCTATTAAATGAATCATTTTATATTTAGTTTAGAGTAAAACACTCTATTAAATAAAAATAAATAAAAATAAAATTATTTTAAAAATAAATAATTATTTTATTAAAATAAAATTTAATTAAAAATATTTTATATATTTTAATATAAGGAATGTATACTTAAAACCGGAAAGAATATGCTCTCTGGAGCTGTAGAAGTGATGGACGTACGTGTGGTGGTGACTGGCGATAACGATGAAGTGAAAGACGTGAGAAAAACACGTGAGCGGCGGAATAAATAGCGAACGTGGGTTGGTAACAAATTACGTATTTGAAATGTTTAATAATTATTACTCATATATATCCGCATGTTGCTCGTGCATCGTTATAACATTTAATACGGTCTCCCTAGTTAAAGTCAAAAACTTGTGGGATTATATAAGCGTGTAGTAATTTAGTTTATGGTTCTTGGAAATTCCTACAATATGTTTGACTTTGAAATTTGGAATTATATTATTGAACCCTTCAATTCTGCACATAGTTTAGTAACTGTTTAGATTGATGATTAGTTAAGATCTTATTTTCTTTCTTACTAAACACGGTTACCAAATAAGTCTGCATCGTGTCATTATACTTTTGGTTGGTGGTTTCTTTGACCAAATTGTAATTTTTGTTTGTATTTTGACTTTTTTTTTTTTACTTGTTTGGCCCTGCCACTAGTTAATTACTATGCTACCTTAATTTCTCCCTTTGATTGATGGTTTTCCTGTTGAAGAGATTGTTAGCTAGGTTACCTTTATAGTAAGTAATTTAAAAATAAATAAATAAATTGGCCTTTAAACAAGTAGCAAGGACTTTAAATTTATTTTTTGTACAATATTTTTTATTAATTTTTAAAAATAATATAATTTAACTCTTATTAATAAAAATTAATTTGATTCTTAATCGAGCAGAAGATGAGAAAAAAACCCAAAATTTACAGTAAAAGAACACAAAATTACATATAAGGGTCCAAAAAATAGAGAAATGACCATGAAATTTTCTTAGTCATCTTCTCTATTTTTTTATATTATTTTATAATTAACTAATAGTTAAAGTTAATTTTTATTAATGAAAAAAGTCAAATTGCACTAATTTTAAAAGTTAAAAAAAATATTGCATAAAAGATAAATTTAGAATCTTAGGGTTTCTGAATCCATATTTATGATCAATTTGCTCATTTATTCTAAATTTAAAAGGTACTTTTGCCATTAATTTTTGTTTCGAGGATCTCCCACAGTCCCACTTTTATTGAGACTAGTTATAATTATGTATTATTTATTTGCCTAATCCTTTTTTTATCCGTGAATATAGCCTAATCTTTGTGGGATAGTAAAAGCCATTATTATTCTTCGTAGCAATAATAATATAATATATAAATAATAATAATAATAATAATAATAATAATAACCTCGCCAAGGGCCAGTTGCATGGTTTGAGAAAAATTAATTAAAAATAAAGAGGTTCATTAAACAATGATTAAAAATTTAGAATCAGGTGCGGATAATTAATAGTAATCTATATTTGGAAATGGATTTATAGACACACTCAATAATTAATTAAAAGCTTACAATCCATTATTGATGTTACAAGATGACTATTAACTATTAAGACGCACATAAATATATATTAACTAATAATTGAATAGTTGAATTAAGAGATCCATTAGCAGACGAGTCAAATATGTCTTCATTTTCTTTCTATGTAGCGGTAAAGTCAAATATTCTACGTTAACATTGCTTTGAAAGTGAAGGGTTGGAGGCACAACATTAACCTTTTATCTCATGTAAGCAAATAAGGGATCCTGTCCTTTGTCTTTTCAATGTTATGTCTTATATTTTCAAACAAGATATATGTGATAAATTCGAAATATAAATTTCTAACTTTTTTATAGCCAAAAATATTATGTAGAGAGAATTTTGTATAACATAGATGCCTTAAGGGTTAAGGAAATTGATGTAAGAGCTGAATTTTCCAAATTCAGCTTCTTTGAACCAAAATTAAAGAGGCCATATTGTCTCCTAGACCAGGTCAAGTCCGTCAGAGGAAAGAGATCTGATAAGCAACTAGGAAATCTCTGCGCCCTATGGGAGGATCATTAAAAATTCATTTCTCTAAATTTATGTTTGAAGGCGACAATCTAGTCATACATTATGAGCCTTCTGATCTTGTTGATAAAGCTAATAAGTGGATGCATGACTTTCTGTGAGTGCTTATTCTTCATAGAGTGATAGCTTCAAGAGAATTGCAATGAAGATTTAGAGCTTCAAGAATGCTCAGGAGTTCTGCAGCATTTTGCCTCTCTCTCTCTCTCTCCTCTCTCGAATAATCTTACTTCCCAAGAGAGAATCTTGTGGAGTGGCAGCTTCTAGAATTCTGGCAATAGAAGAAGCATGTGGAAATGTAGTTTTTAAGCAAAGTGTGAAAATCCCCTAGATTGTAATTCTGGAGACTTTGGCTGGATTCTTTGCATCTTTCTGTGTTTTTTTTTTTTATATATAGCACTACTGATCAAACCACGCAGTGGCAAATTCATACTGCAATTGGAAGTATCCACAGATCAGAATTGATATTTGAGTGAATTATTGGAGTAAATAATAGCAGCGATCGTGCTGCGTGCGCTTCAGTTTGTTCAGAATTACCATATTTTCAAGTGAAGTAAACTAAGAAATTGATACACTAATAATCACATTCATACTTAGAGCTAAAAATACGGGTGGGCCTGATTTTAAGGGCCTGAGCCTAAAAACTCGGTTTTTCATTTTAAATATCATTTCTCAAAGCTCGGCCCTTATGCTTAGGGCTGAGGGTCGGGCCCGCAAGCCCTTTCTCAAAAAAAAAAATTAAAATTAAATTAAACATTATAAATTAATTAAAATATTTTAAACTTTAAAAAATTAAAATTCTCATAATTTTTAGAAATTAAAAAACACACATTTAAAAGTCTAGTAATAAAATTTAAATCTTAATTAAAAAACAGTTCATTTTTTATAAATACACAAACATAATAATATTATAGAAAAATAAAAAATATAATAATTTTATACAATACACTAATATTTTAAATTATATTAAATTAATTTAGAATAAATTTAAAATAATAATAATATAATGTGTGCAGGATAAGATGAGCAGGTCATTAGCTTCAAACACGTGTTCTATTGAATAAAATAATAATAATA